TATCTCTCTGTTAACACTTCTTGGATCCTTTATTGAAATTTATGCTGTAGTAAGTTTAGCTGTTGGTTGAGTACTTTTTGTGTGCCACAGGCGCTTTGCTACTTGTATTGTTTTATTTAACTTTCACCACAATCCCCTTGGATGAGTCTTGTGATTATCTTTATTTTACTGATGAAATTCTGAGAAGTTAAGTAATGTCTCCTGGGTCATATGACTTGGAAATGGCAAATATAAGACTTGAGACAAGACCTTTCTGACACCAGGTTTGTAGCTGTATATGAGTTCTCACAAACCCTATTATGTAATTTATTACTAGGGTAAACATACTGTAAATCTTGTGATACCCAGAGTCCTCCTTTCAACACTACCTTTCTGGTTTGGTGTGTAATCAGAAACAAGGGGTAACCAAGTATTAAGAGTGAATTGATCACTTTCAACTTCTGGAAAGGTCACATTATTAACTGTTTGATAATCCTTGTGTCTTAACTAGAAGTATGCTGTTTTCTTTAGACTCATTGCTTACTTGTATTGAGTTACGATTATGGGTGAGTCTCACACGTTTGCCCTTTTGTCTGAGACTGCTCACTGATGTGGACTCTTAATTTCTTGATTTATCAGCTCATAATACCTGCCAATTTTCTTCCTTGATGTGATGCCTTTTTGAAAAAGGTTCTCTGTCTGGAATCCCTCCATCTTTCTTCTTCTATTTCAGTCTTTTACTTGCTGGGCATTCTTCACTGTAAGAACTCAGCACAGCTATCACCTTATTTAAGATGCTTCTCTGACCTTTTCCCCTATTCTGGGCTGGATTAAATCCCCTTATTTTATGTTTCTTTAGCATCTTATGTATATAAATGAAATTTTAAAAACTATCATAATGTCATATTAATATTTGTTTATGTTCCATTTACCTTTATTAGAGGATGAGCACTTTAGGGTAGAAGCCATGTCTTAGGCATTTTTGTGTCCACAATGCCTAATGTAATTTTATGGAATGACCATTTGACTGAATGACGATTGATTTTATTGTAAACCTACCCAAACCTATTGCCATCTAGTTGATTCTGACTTATACCAACCCTGTAGGACAAAGTAGATCTTCCCCCTAGGGTTTCCAAAGATGTAAATCTTTACAGAAGCAGACTGTCTCTTCTTTCTCCCGTGGAGCAGCTGGTACATTTGAACCTCTGACCTTTTGGATAGCAACTGAATGCTTTAACCACTGTACTACTACAGTTCCTTTGTAAACCTGAGAACACTATTATATTATTTTTTCAATTTGAAAGGCTGATATATTTGACAAATTATCATAAAAGACTTAGATAACCTTCCATCTTTATGTTGTCATATAGCATCTCAGTCAACAGTTCTCAGTAATAATTTACTGTATTTTTAAAAGCTATGCTGACATTTGCATTTTATCATGTGTTAAATAGATTGTACATCTTTATTATTTACACTGTTATTTATAGTTTTGAGAGTAGATGTATATTAATCTTTTAAACCCATTCTATTCTGAAAGTATAAATTTAATTCTTCGTTATCAAGCATTGCAGTGAATCATGCTGTGATTTTTATTTATATTGCTAATGTTATGTTTATTCCTTAAGACTTTAATTACCTCAAATCTTTAATTAAAATCACTTTATCAAGTATATGGCACAATAATCTTATATATTAAGTACTGGTAATGGCAGCCAAAGTAAAAGTAGAAATTTAGAGAGACTTAGTTGTTTCAGTCTCAGCATGATTATAATTTTCCAAAGTGATTTTCATTTTTGAAGCATGTTTTTTTGTTTGAACCTAATATCTGGATAAAAAAGGAAAGCTTTAAGGTAAAAGCTAACATCCTTAATAGCTTTAAGGGGAATTTTTTGAAAGGGGTAGGAGGTTTTTGTTGTTGTGTAACTGAGCTCTTGATGAAAATGGGAAAAAATATAAAAGCAAACCTTAAGATGCCACTTGTGTAATAGAGAATGAGATTCCATTTTCTTTAAGATATTATTATTTTACTTTGGCTCAGAAAGGATATGACAAGATTCCATGATGTACCTCATGATGTACCTCATACCTACTATCAGGTGTTTTTTTTTTTTTTTTAATTTATTCTTTATTTTAAGAGCTTGTTTTACATTCAACGTAACATGTACATTTAGTTTCATTCCCCATTCGCCATGTCCAACCCTAACCCAGTCTCCTCCCCACCCTACCTTGCAACCCTCCCCCTGTGCCCCTCCTATTTATGCACTCCTGTTTGTCCTACATTTCCTTAGTTTGAATGTTGGTCCTCTGGTGTACCATGGTCTATTGCTCTAAGGGATGTATTACCATAGAGTATGTAGGTGTGTCATCCTGGGTTGAGTGGTCTGCGTATACATCTTGTTATTTACTATCAAGTTAAAGGTACCACTTGATGTGTATTTGTAGGATGGCCTTTTGTGACTTCTGGAGTAGGTTCTGTCTGCCTTGTCTGTCTTCCTGTGGCTGCCTGTGCTTTCCCCTTACAGCAGTCATCACACTTTACTGTAATTAACTCTCTATTGCCTATTTTCTTTGCTAAGCTCTAAGGTTTATGAGGATTAGGAATTGTGGATGTTTGTCTGCCACTGTATGTTGTTGTTGTTGTCATATGCCGACTCATAGTGACCCCTCCTTGGGTTTCCGAAGCAGTATCACTACAGAAGTAGATTGCCCAACCTTCCTTCTGAGGAGTGGCTGGTGGGTTTGAACCGCCAGCCTTCTGCCACTGTATAGTAGGTGCTTAATAAGTAATTCATAAATGAATGATCCAAACAAGCGGAAGACAGGGATTTGTTCCCAAAAAATAACTGCTTTGGGAACAATTGTTTGAAACACTGTAGATCTTGAAATGCATCATATATCATTAAAGAGTAATCAGCTTTAATAATAAGATTATTTTAATCATATTCATTATAAATCTAGTAACTTGAATTATGTATAATATTTATTTAAAATGCTACATTATCTATCTGGATAGTCATTTACTATATTTTGTTTAGGAAAATAGTTTATACTTAAATCTTCTTTGCAATTTAGTAATTATGAATACTTCAAAAAATACTTCAAACAGAATATGAAATTTATACTCTAAATATCTCACAGCTTCCTTAATAATTTATATTTTTCAGAATTAATGGTGGAGGTTAAATTTCCACACGGGTAGAGGTCTCTACTCAAATACTGCCTTGCTCTCCTTAATTCATAATTTGTTTGTGGATCCGTTGGACATTTCCACTGGCCCTAACCCTGGGGATGGGTTCAAGGGATGTTGCTTCTTGCTACTTACCCTGTTCCTGAACTGACTCAAGTATAACCATATTTCAGTTTATCGCCATATGAGTAATGGATGATTGAAACATTTAGACAAGATTAAGGCTCCTTGATAACATGGAGAGTAAATTCAAAGGCCTTACACGATGTAGAAGACCTTATGTGACCTTTCGCTTGACGTGTCTCTAATCTCTGGTTCTTCTACTCTGCTCCTTTTGCACTGACCTCCTTCTGGTACTTGATCATTCCCACATGCCCCTACCTTAGTGCCTTTACACCAGCTGTTCTCTCTTGCCTCAGATATTTGCATGATTAACTCCGCCTTACAAGGCTTTGTTTAGATTTCACCTTTTTACTGAGGCTTTTGTTGACAACTCTGTAAAACTGCAACCTGCTCACATCCCAACTCCTTGGTCCCCTTTCATCTGATGTACACTATTCTTTTTACTATAGAACATAGTCACTTACTTAGTCATTTATTTATTTATTATGCTTGTTGTCTGTCTCCTACCTCCGGTATGCAAGAATGTAAAGGTACAATTTCTTTGTGTGTTTGTGGTTTTTTTTTTTTTTGGTTCTTCTTATTTTTAACTAACATGTGTAGCTCAAGTTCCTAGAACAGTGTCTGAAATACAGAAGATGATCAGTAGTTATTTGTTTAATAAATGACGAGTTTGGCTTTTGCAAAACAGATTTGTTCTTCCTCAGCTTTTGACGCATAGCTGGACTGCCTCATATTCTCACCTCTGGATTCTCTCTTATATGGGCCTTTTAAATACATCCAGAGTCAAAACAAAAGAAGTTACACTGACTTTTTCTCTGTATTCCCAAGGAAATACTAGTTCCCAAATTCATGCTGATTATGGACTGTCTCTGCTCTCCTATGTTTTATAAAGGTTCAACCTAGAATAGAAATTAACTTTTACCAGCTGATATAAAGGTGAGCATAAATGCCAAATTAAAAGGACGAAAATATAGGTTTTCTCATGTCTCAGGTTCAAGATGTCCCTAGGAGTAGGGTGATTGAAGTTCTGGTTCTTACTTTAACTGTATCTTTGGACAATGATTTAACTTATCTGAGCTTATGTTTCTTCAGTTATAAATTGAACTAGATTGTATTATTTTGGTTCTATGGAGTTCATGTCATCAGAAACACTAAACTTTATAATTACAGGAATACTTTTTCTAAATATGTTAGCACTTATTAATAGTCAGGGTACTGTATTGAAGTCTTAAGCTTGATAAGGTGCTGCATATCTAAAAGCATAGAGCTGTGCATACCAGTAGTCCTTAGGACCTGGCAAAAATTATCTTATGTAATTTCACTTGATAAACAGATTTCTGATGGTCTGTTAGGGATTCAGTTACCTAAAATATTGAGTCTTCAGTCTTGATAATTAACACATAGATGGAATGCATCTTCCCCTCTCTCTTCTTTACTCACTTCCTTCTTTATCCTTTAAATTGTCAGTTCTACCATTTTCCTTCATTTGCTTAGAGAACAAAGTGAGAGCACTTTAAAGGTATTTTTCATTAATTTTGCCTTAGGAATCTTTGTTTTATTCATCATTATACCCCTAGCATACAGCAGATTGCCTTCTACCTAGTAAGTGCTCCTTAAGTGTTACTTGAATGAATAAAATTGCTTTTGTTTTTACCTAATTCTAAATTAACTTAAAAAGCAATTTTTACGTTTTTATTGTTTTAAGAAAGGTGACCCTTGTGATGGTGGGACTTGATAACGCTGGTAAAACTGCAACAGCAAGGGGAATCCAAGGAGGTAAGCTCCAAATAATTATATGGTTTCTGAACTCGTTTACATTACTCTGATTTATTTTAAAACTGCTTTATTCTATTGGGAGCTCTGGTGGCTAGTGCCTAAGGCATTTGACTGCTAACCAGAAGGCTGGTGGTTCAAATCCACCAGCCACTTCTTGGAAGGAGGATTGGGCAATCTACTTCCATAGAGATACTATCTTGGAAACCCAAGGAGGGGTCGCTCTGAGTCGGAGATGACTTGACAGCAGTGAGCTTGGATTTATTATATCATCCTTGGGTATAGATAGTATACTTGGCTTTGCACTCCATTATTTTATATTTTTTGTATCCTTGTGACTAATATGAAAAATAGGCTCTGGCTTGATAATACTGGCCTATTTTTATGTTTAAGATTTGAAAATATTTCCGATGCAGAGGCTTGCAGAGGCTCTGATCAGCTAAGAGGGAATCACGTCTGCATTCTAGCCAACCAAAGCAAACAAAACTCACTGCCATTGAGTCGACTCTGACTCACAGCGACCCCCATTGGGTTCCAAGGCTGTAAATCTTTATGGAAGTAAATCACCCCATCTTCTGCAGAGTGGCTAGTGGGTTTGAACCACTGACCTTCTAGTTAGCAGCCAGATGTCTTATCCACTGTGTCACCAGAACTCTTTATTCCAGCCAGCAAAAGGAGGGAAAAGTAAAAAAGAATAACGTGCTTCTATGTTTAAGTACACCTAGTTTCTACTTATATTCTGTTGGGCATAATTTAATCACATGGTCACACCTAGATATAAGGGAGGTAGAAGCAGATTTATCTAGCACTGCTCTTTTAGCATCTCTTGATGTTCTTTTTTTTATTATTATTATATAGTATATTAAAAATAGGCCTCTGTTACTAAAGAGTGTTTTATATATATATATATGTTACATTTGATTGACTGTATTCATTTAGTCTTCTGAATTTAATGCTTTGCACTACAATATAATAGTAACTTTGCTAGTGAATTTATTGTACACTTGGAGAGTGTAACACCAGCTAGGCATCTTAAGGGTATGAATTGGGAGAAAACTTACCATATGTTTCAGAAAATGGATGATTATGTCAAGATACCAAGCATACCAAATAGGGATTTTTATTTATGGAAATATATGAAATAAAAATAACTCAATGTTGTGCAAAAAAATATTTTGTTATTTTCAGGTTCTACTATGTAATATTAGATGTAAATTATGTATTACTGTTGTTTCTTCTGAAGCCTTTTTGGCACTCCTCACTTAAATTTTATCTTTACAGAGCATTTACCATCATCATTTAAAGTAGGAGTCAGCCAACTTTTTCTGAAAGAGCCAGAAAGGAAATATTTTCAGTTTCACTGGTCGTATGGTCTCTGCACCAACTCTGATGGTATAGTGCAAAAGTAGCTATAGGCAATATGTAAACAAATGAGCATGACTGTTCCAATGAAACTTTATTTATAGACACTGAAATTAGAATTTCATATAATTTTCATGTGTTACTGACTTTTTTTTCCCCAGTCATTTAGAAATGTAAAACACATTCTTAACTTGTGGGCCACACAAATATAGGCAGTAAGCAAGATTTGGCGTGTCAACCATAGTTCACAGAGATCTGGTTTAAACTTCGTTTTTTCATTCTTTCAAAGTTTTGCATTCTAGGAAACAGATACCTAAGGATCTGTGAGTGAGACTCTCTAATTTGTCATGTGTACTTAGAATATCTTCCTTCCAGTACGCTACTTATCTTCTGACTTCTGCCTCCATATATCCATTGGTTTCTCTTTCTGGGTCTAAAGAATGTTCCAAGTGTCACATATCTTGAACAAAAAGCCAAACCTTCCTTTAACTTTGAGCTCCTCTCTAGTTCTATTTCTATGCTTCACTTTTGTAGTGCACTGAAGTTCTTAATTTGGCCCTTCTAGTCATAGTCATCCATTTTGTGATGTATTGTAAATCCTAGTCTCTGTGTTGGTTTAAGGTGAGATGTATCTTGAGTCCCTCTTTGCTGGATGGTATGACTCATGCCACCAGCCCTAGTTTCCTTGATGGTATAAATGTTAATGTTCTGGTAAAGGAAGCTCTCTTGCTCTGGATCCTGCATTTGATTTGTCATAATCTCACCCCTGGACTTGAGACAGTAACCAATCATCTGACCTGCTGATTTGGGTTTACTGGCCCCTCAACCACATCCTCTAGAAATACATGTGACCCATGGCTTTGGGACTTGCCAGCCTCCCAACCTCCATGAATGCCATGAGCTATTTCCTTGGAAGTTTGTGAATTCTGTGAGATGTTACAGTGAAATACGGAACCCTAAGACAGGAGGGAAAGTACTGAGGGAAGGAGGAGGAGGAGGAGTTGATATTAGAGATGATGGAATGGTACAGCAGTTTGGAAAAGTTTGACAGTTGGGACGTCGTAATCTCATAGGGACCAGCCTTGTGCTGACTCTTATAAAATAAGTTATTCGAGTAACTTTTTATTCACTCTTAAGCCTGCTTCATTTAATGATTTATTCCTGTAATTTTTTTTTTTTTTAATTGTGATTTGGGTGAAAATTTACAGAGCAAATACACTTTCCATACAGCAGTTCACTTACACTTTGTCTCATGACATTGGCCACAATTTAGCACAATGCAACATCTTCCCTCCCACTTCCTCCCAGTAGCTACCTCTTCCCTGTGTTCATCCCTCCATGCACTCCTACCCCCTGAGCTGTCTCCCTGTGCCTGAGCAGACCTTGTTTCTTTCATGCTTGTTTTCTCCAAGGAGTGTATCTACCTCAGGTAAATGATCAACTGATATGCCTGTCTATTTTTTGGCTGGAAGCCACAGGTGTGTGTTCAATTCCAGATCTGAATTGGCTGGCTAGGGTCCATGGTCTCAGTGGTTCCACCAGGCTCCAATTGGCCAGCAAACCTGTTCCCTGCTTTTTTATTCCAAATGATTTTGAGTTTTGTTCCACATTGTTCTCCCTGTCTATCCAGGATCTCCTACAAAGATCCTCTTCCAAGTGGTTGACAGTAGTAGCCAAGCACCATCTATTTCTTCTGGTCTCATAGTCATATAGGCTGCAGATCA